ACACACACACACACACACACACACACACACACGCACACGCACACACATACACACACACACATACGTATATATTTAACATGTTATATGTAGTATAATATAACAGTCATATAATAACACACACACCTCCATACATCCATCAAACAATTCCAACTAAACTAAACATTCATGTTAGACTAACCATATTAAAATGCAATCACAGATAGCGAAACACATACATATGTGAATATTTACATATACAAACATACACAACAGTACATAAATACATGTGTGTATTTGTAAACGTACATATTAAACAAACACACACACACACACACACACTTTTAAAATAAACAGTAACAAAATCTGTTACAAATTCTGATGTTGTGAATGGCTTGCTTTCATACACCGTCACATAAGCATAGTTACCTTTCTTTTATCATCATTTTAACAGTCAACTTCATCAGTCATCTTTATCATCATTTCATTATCATATGATGACGTCACTACGAGTGTTATGCAAGTAGGGAATTAGCACCGAATATTAAAAAATCGACTAGTTAGTTGGTCAACTATTCGGTTGATGCATAATATCAATAATTTCAAATAAATTTAAAAGTGATTTTTCAGATGAATGCAATTTTAATATATTAGATCTTTGAAATTAAAATGCAAGTTAATGGGAAAATATATTATTAATCTAGTTCACATATACACAAACAACACGAATGGGTTACACACAAATAAACATGCATACCTACTGAAAGATATCATAAAACAGAGCTTTACAAAGACAGGCATAAAATTACATTTACTACAGAAAACGGAGGAAAAATTGACAAACAAACAAAAAAATACAAAGTAAAACCCACAAACAACACAGACAGAGATAGAGAGAAAAAGACACACAAGCACGAACCAACACAGCATGTTTCCAACTAACGTAATATTTAAATCAGCAAATCTTTTCGAACACAACCTGCGGCGAAACCAAGGCGATTTAATTAAAAGACAACGTGAACGTATTTCTCAAAAATTATGCATAATAATATTATTAAAATAATAATGAAAATAATAATAATAACAACAGCATTAAAGTAAACAAATGCAACGGCTTAATGTATCATTACTAAAGATTAAAGAAGAAATAACAGTCAGTTTACTCTGCTCAAATTTGGAGTCCTGATCTGCAAAAAGACAAGGATATTTTGGAGAAAGTACAGCGGAGAGTGACAAAGATGATCGGAGGACCTAAAAATCTTGAATACAAAGTTAAATCGAAATAATGTGGATTGACAACACTGGAAATAAGAAGATGCAGGGAAGATCTGATACAGGCATACAAATCGATTACAAAAAAAGAAGAAACACCGTTTACCAGATTTTTTTCAACTGGAGTATAGGATATGATTACGAGGCCACAGATAGAAGCTCTCCAAAAAATTGAAAGTGCCGTCATGCGAAGATTCTTCAGCAGTAGAGCGATAAGCATCTGAAATGTTTTGAGCGGTGAGACGGTCTTCGCGGAATCAATCAACAGTTTCAAGATCAAGCTCGGAAAGTTAGGATATTAGGACACTTATCTCGCAGTGGTTCTCACACAGACTCTAATCTTCTGAACTACTTTAAACCCAGTTATGTTATGTTATGTTACTTATAATTGTTATCAACTTTTTATTAGCTTTTGTAATAAAGGTATTCAATATATGCATTGAATTCCGGTTTCTGTTGTGTTTGATAATTATGAACACCTGTACATATCCAAAGAACAAGGACAGTAACGCAAAAAAAATAAGCAGACTGTTCATCCTGATGTTCTCTCAATGGTGAATTTATTTTATTTGTATTTTATTTTTAGAAAGCCAGGCTCGATAAATTTTATTCTGGTCAACTGTGTAGCATTTTCTGTTTATTTTTTTTTTACAAATAAAAGTCAGTTTTTTTTGAAGAAACCTCTGACCATTGAATTATATAATTCCATGCCTCTGACCCAACGAATTGAAAAGGTTTTTTACCAAATAACCTTAACAAACAAAACTTTATTAATTTATTTAATAAATCAACATATGAAGCAGTTGGATATTAGCAGAAGTTGATGGTGGTGAAGATGTGGCAATCATATTGCATGTTGAATTAAGATTATTATGATTATTTGTACTATATCAATTTTTAATCTGTCTTATTATATATATTAATTCTGAATTAAGATAAATGTGTCCTATCCCTATATGTAGAATAAAATCATATTATTAAAAGTATATGATCCTATTATTCTACTTATATGTTTCAAGCATGGATATATATAAATCCATGGTTTCAAGTTCTTTTTTGTTCTATGCAGAAACGTTATTACGGTTTGTAGTTGTTCTTAGCCGTTGCTGCATTCGTATTTTCGGCGTCGGTTATTTGTTTTATACTTTTTATTTCAATTATTGGTTTATAGCGGACATGTCGAGAATGGCTAAAAGGTTGTTAGTTGATTCTTTTTATTTCAGTTTAATTTAATTTTTAATGTATCGAAACTGCTGAGTGTGAAAATGGCGTCGCTCACATACACACAGTTCTCCATGATCTGAAATCAATTTTTAAAACTCCTACCTGTTATTTTTAATTAATTTATTTCTCATCCACTGGCGTTTTGTCAATATTCTCCCAAATAACATTAAACATTAAAAATGAATTAAAATTTGAATACAGATCACGTTCGAGGTCGCCCGCATCTGTTCGCACCCGTTCTCAATCGCCTAAAAAATGGAGGAAACCTGATCGAAGAGGAATGGCCGATCGAGGTGACAAGAAAGAGGAGAGGGTGAGAGTCTACGTTTCTAATTTACCTTACGATGTCAAGTGGCAAGCACTAAAGGATATTTTTAAAGACAAAGGTAACTAGTTCATACAATTATGTCATTGACTTTCATTTTTGTATAGCAAAATTCATTATTTTATTTTTTATTAGTCATCTACTCAACTTTATTTTTAAAAGTTATATTTGTTATGTTTTGGTTTGTGTTTGTTTGTTAATAAATAATGATAATATAATCATTATCTTTTACCAAATAATTTAAATTTATATTTAAATTCAAGTTGGAAATGATGTTACATATGCCCAGCTGTACGAAGATTTGGATGGAAAGCCAGTCGGAGCGGGGTTTGTTCAAAAATTATAAATAATTGAGAAAAGAAAAATATTAAATGTGGGATTATGTTACAATGATAGCAGAAACCAAGCAAATATTATAAAAACTGTTAAACATTTCTCTCATTACAACAGAGTTGTAGAGGTCAGAAATCGTGAGACGGCAATGAAAGCCATCGAGGAATTGGACAGATTTGAAATCAGAGGAAGGAAGATCATAGTGAGAGAGGTGGTTGCATCAACTATTACACAATTAATAGTTTATCATCAATTAATAAAATGACTTTTATCATCACCAATGTGATTTTGAGAGTAACATTCAAATGTTGAAACACGCAATTTTTTAATTTTTAACAAAATTCTTGCTTGTGTGCAGGAAAGAGAAAAAGACAGACAGAGACACAACCGGGATCTTGGTCTGCACAGGAATGAAGGTGGGATGCCAATAAGTGGTGGAAGTGGAAATTTTATGGGTGTGTTGCTAGTTTGCTCATTAAAGTCTCAATTTTTTTTCACAGTAAATATTTATAGTTATTTTTATGATGCTAAGAAGAGTCAGCTACAAAAACATTTGCATTATCTTAAAGCACAATGTGAATGTGTTGTTATTAGTTCATAGAATAATATTTGCTGAATTCGTTGCAACTTTGTAAAGAAATTTTTTAATACTGGTGAAAATTTGTTTTCATTTTGTTTTTTTTCCCTAATTAGGAGGACCAAACATGATGTCAGGAGGTGGAGCACCTCAAGGATTCACTGCTGATTGGTTGAACCAGTTAGGCATTGATGTCACTCAAATCACTAACCAAGTTTTCGTTGCTAATGTTAGTACGCATGAAGAATAAATTTTTGTTTGTTCAGTTATATTAATGCCACTCAGTGTGTTTCAACGTTTGAATGTTGCCTTCAAAATTATTAATATAATAACTTTAATTTCCCATTGAAGTTCAAAAATTTTAGGATGACATTTAGTTGAGAATGTTTCAGTCCTGTTTTATTATATTGGAATGTGAAATCTGCTTTTATTCTCCACTCACATCTCGTATATTTAATTTGCTGGCAAATTTGAAGACCTTTGAAAACAATTACTTGAATTTTTCTATTTGATACAACTGAATAAATATCTGCTGAGAATTTTATATTATCATATGTCTAAAATAAGATTTTGTTATAAAATAAGATATTCATAAATCAAATAGAAAATAAAAACTATGAACCATGCAGCTAGATTATAAGGTGACCAAGTCTATAAAAACTATGAACCATGCAGCTAGATTATAAGGTGACCAAGTCAAAACTCGAGGAGGTATTCAGGATGGCTGGCAATGTCATTGAGGCAGAGTTGAAGTTGGACAAGGATGGCAAGAGTAGAGGGCTGGGTATTGTCAGATACGAACATCCCATTGAAGCAGTTCAAGCCATATGTCAGTTTTGTCATCATCTATGTAATTTAGTTGATTCAATTACAGTTTTCTGCTCTTTTTTATTTTTATATCTCCTGCCATATTTGTTGAAACAAATATGGCTTTATTTTTAAAGTAATGTATAATTTTTAATTGAGTTGAAGATTATTATTATTGAATTTTTTTAAAATTTGTAGCCCTCTTCACGAATCAGTTCATGTACGATCGACAAATGCATGTCCGCCTGGACAGATGGGTTGAACCGATGTTGCAGGACATTCCATCAAGACTTCCCACAGGATTGAAGAGCATTGGCATTGGCATGGGAGCACAGGGACAACCATTGCTCAATATTGGGGAAATTGCAAGTTAGTCTCAAAATTTAGTTGTGTTATAAACGAAAATTATATATATGTATGGAAGGTATATATGAGACAAATTTTGAAAACATTTTGAGCTGGTCTAAATGGTTTTTGCAGCAGCCTCTTAAGTTAGTTACTGTGAAATGATAATGAGAAGTTACATTTATATTGATAACTTACTATGGACGGTTATTAAAAAATTTTGGCAAGATTAGGCTGGTGAAACAATGCCTGATTTCCTAAGCCAAGGGAAAATGAAAACACACACTAATTGATAATCTGTTAACATAAGGAATCTACATAATTTGGGCAAGTTCGTCAATGCTTGGCACAGTGAATGTTTTGATAGAAAACATGTATTTGTTGAGTGTGACAAACATGCTCTCTTGAAAGCACTGATTCAGTTGTATGTCTCATTTAATTGTAACAATAAAAATAAAGTTCATACTTGTTTTCAGATACTTTAACATTGAGCATATTGCTTGGACAAACAAACAACCAACACCCACCACCAGCAATTAGTAATTTTTTATTTATTAATTTTTTTTGAATATATTTTTTCAAATATGATCTTTTAAATAAAAGTAATCTTTTTACTGAATTAACCTTTTTTAACAATTATTGCTGAACAACAGACATGAACAACAACAACATTCCTATGAACCATCCCATCCAAAATAATGCCAACCTTGCCACCAACCTACTTGGAAATCTCAGCAACAATAATCTCGGTAATCTCGGAAATTTGACTAACCTGATAAACCCTGGTGCTAATTTGGGTGGTCTGGGTTCAGGTGCAGGGGCATTGGGTGGTCAACTCATACCCCAGCAAGCTAATGCTGGTAACATGGTCACTCAAACTGCTCAGGCCATTTTGAATACATTGGGACTGAATGCCCTTACTGGCCTTGGAGGTTTGGATTTAGCAGCAAATTTGGGAGGTGTTGGAGGAATGGCTGCAGGAGTTGGCGGAAGTAATGCATTAGGGATTGGAGTTCAGAATTCTGCTGATATCGGGCACAGTCTCATCAATCAGAATATGTCGTTTAGTGCTATGCAGAATGTTGGCTATGACAACAGAGATGGTCGTGGTTCAAATTTTGATAGAAATTCTGGTGGGGATATTACAGCTGTGTTTATTAAAAATGTTAGCTTCCTAGCTATTTTTTATTAATTGGTGTGCTGAATTGGCAATGTATATACTTTTTTCAAAATATTCCCGTTCACTTTTTTGACCATTAAAATATTTTTTTGAGATTAAAATATTTGCCTTCTCAGCTCCCTTTCAACTTTTCAGCAAATAACCTGTACGAGAAATTCCGTGTTTATGGTTACTCTTTCAATATTATTATTAGTATATTATAAAATTTGTATTTATTTCCAATCATTTTTCCAATCAACGAAATAACAACACATTCATCACACATATACGTGATAAACAATGATGAAAATTGTGCTGAACACAAGACGTAACTGCACTTCAGGTGACATAAAGTATGCTGACATAAAGACAGATTCCGCTGGCAGGTCGAGAGGCTCTGCTGTTGTTCAATATTTCAATGCTGACTCTGCCCGTAGAGCTATCTGTAAGTTTCATTATTATTTATATTCTATTATTATTATATTATTATTCATAAATCTAGCCAGCATTCATTGTTGTAGTCATTTATTAGTGTGATTTTTACAGCTTTTTATGATAGCTTCATCACGATGTTTTTATGGTTTTAAATTGTAGGTTTAGCACACGGATCAATGGTAGATGACAGACAGATCGAAGTCAAATTGGATCGTTTGGCGTGAGTGAAGTGGCTAAATGGAGAATAAATTTGTTGACAAACTGATCTTCTCCATGTTACTCTTCATCACCATCATCACATTTGTCTTCATTTATCAAATGGATGATAGGTAGTAAGATTGTATATATACATACACAGATATATATATATATATATATATATATATATATATATATATATATATCAATATATATATATGTGTGTGTTATATATTTATATATGTGCATGTATTCTTGACAATTTCTCTAGTATAAAAGCGTGTTTAACTTGTAGATGGGTTTTGTTGCTGTGGACTTTTTTAATGGACATCTTTTAAAAATAAAACAACTTAGTGTTTATTTTTATAATTTGCGCATGAATAAATTTGGTTGTTGATCGGTTGTCAACTGTTGCATCTTTGCTTATTTTAAATTTAAGATATGATATTCAAGTTGACAGCTTAGTAATAACGGGTTGAATATTGGTTGAATGTCATGTGAAAGATTTTGTTGTTCATGGTTGGTTTCAATGACGTTAGCTGTTTTAAATCTTTTGTTGAATTATTGGTTTGTGCCGACTGGACATTCATTTGGTACATGTTCTGGTTGGATTGTTTGATGAAGTTCATTTTTTTGGCAGGTTAGCAATTCATTTTAAACGTTTGAATGTTAATGTTTTGTAAGAGTATCAAATTTTAATTCATTGCTTTGAAGTCTGGTTCGATTTTTCTATTTTTATTAACAGTTTAAAAATCTGGCAAACATGGTTTTTTCTTTATGATAAATGCTGATAAATGTAGATTCGCTTGGGTAAAATGAAAGAGAATAGTTAACTGTGACTGAGCTCATAAATTGATTTGCACATCCCAAGTGGTAGTTTGGAAATTCTCTTCCAAAATTTGACTTGTCATGTTCGATTAGCTTTGGAACTAGGTGATGATTAAAACAAAGTCATATTTCATTTTGGAGATCGCATTGTTTTTTTTTTCGTTGCTTGTGAATTGGAGTAGAATCATTGGTGGCAAGTGAAGGATGGTAGTTTTGTGCTGCATTCATCTCATCAAGTTTGTCGCTTTGACGTTCCTTGCTGAATTGAAAGGTTGTTTTTTAAATTTATTTGGTTAGTTAGCATTATTGAAATATTTAAATACGTTGTTTGCAATTTTATTTGATTGTATTACCTCCTGGAACATATTTGTTGAAAACTTACTGAGGCTAGCTAGTCCGACCAGTGTTAATTTGACTTGATTCTTTATTCGAAGATCTTCAAGATTTTGAATATTTTTTATGTAAAGAAAATGTTATAAAACAAACTGATATGTCTAGAAGATGCTGGTGATACTTATTGTATTTGCATAATTTATTTTAACAAATTACTGCATTTTAAATTTGACCGATTCTATTACGATTACGATTGAAAGTGATTTTTATTGTTCTACAACAGATGGCGGCGGGATGAAGCAGAAGAAAGGAACAGATGGATGAATTCAGACGAAATGGAACATACGAACGTGAACATGCATTTCGCAAAAGTCCCTACAAGCTTCTGATTTAGAGGATAGATCAACCTACTCCCATAAATGATAAAGATAAAATTTTGCATGCACCATCACATTGACTTCTAGACAAGGAATAGGATAGATTCTTAATGATTGTCCTTAATGTATTTTACAATTTGATAATATATTTTTTAAGTAAAAATAAACACGTAGAGTTTATGTTTTTATCACATTATTTCATCCATATGTACATATTCGTATACATGTCTGCATATATGTATAATAATCTATCAATAAATATAGATGAAAAACGAATTTACAGAACAAAAAGTAGTGTGCATTAAACAGCAAAGGTGCTTCATATAACATTTTATCAAAGGTATACACATATATACATAATCCTCAGTGTATATACAACATTATACACCCTAGTCTGATAAAATTATTTTTTCTACAGGTGTTTAACTAGATATACACGCAAACTGCGCACATGCATATGCTACTTAACATTAACTTTAATACATATGAATGTGTTACTGTTTGTATATAAAAACTAAGAGTACTCACAATGGTTAAAACTTAGAAGAAAAAAAATTGTTTACCAGAATTTACCAAAATAAATCAATATTCACATGTTAGAATTTTTACCAGGTAATTAAATGGTAAGAAAAGATTCATCGGCATGCAGTCGCAACAGTTGCCAGAGCTCCCAGACCAAAAGCTGTTAGAAGTAAACCTTTCCAGAAACTTCTCTCTGGCTTAGTCCCGTCATTGAAAAACATATCCATAGCATCCTGATAAAAATTTTAATATATTCGATTTCAAAACTTAGAAGGGAACAATAAGTTAATTTTAATATAAAAATACATTTTTTGCAGAGTTCTTGTGGCCCATGGATGTAAACAAACAGTAAAATAAAAAAAGGTAAAGACAAGTACATTACTCACCCAACCACCTTGAGATACAATCCAAGTAGACAGATATTCGTTTATGTATTCTGAAACAAATTCTGATATTTTTTCTGGAAAGTGTTTGCTATCTTCATTGTTCAATTTCTGTCCAAACCTTGAGACTTCAACAGAAAATGCTACAATGGTTACGATACGACCCCAATTGCAGTTTCGATCACTGAAAACCTCTTCAAATACTCTTCTTAGAGACAACCTTGCAGAATTCACACTGGAAATATCCAATGATTTGATCATGTTTCGAAATGTTTTCTGGTTTGTTTGAAGAATCCTGTTTTAAATTTTGTTTTATGAGAAAACAAATTGTAAAATCAATGAATTAAACATATTGAGTCACTTTAGGTAGTATTTTGTTAGTTTTATTCAAGCATTAAAACTAAAACTACTTATCAAAACAGAAAAACAATTTGTAAAAAACATACTCTTCAATCATTTTAGTCAAAGTTTTAATTTTCTTTTGTTCGTTCGTTGAACAGGCTGCCTGCTCTGTTGTTGATGTTGTTGGTCTTTCGTTGGACATATTTATAATGACAACTGTACAAAATAATTTTGTTAATGTTTTAGTTTCTGAAAGCATTCTAGAAGTTCTATTCGGAGAATTGGTGGAAGTGATCATTGGAGTAATTTCACTATCAGTTGAAGATGATGAATCAGTTGAAGATGACGACGACTGTGACTCGCTTTCTGTTGAAGTGTAACATTCATGATCGGAGATTCCAGAATCATTAGAGTCCATTCTTTCAGGTGGCAGCATCGTATCACACATATGACTGGTTGGTAGAGATAAACACTTCATATGTGCCATTTCAATTTTTTCTTCTAAAGATGAGAAAAGCAGAATTAAACTTTCTTTCTTGTTCTGCTGTCTTCTTTTTCGATTCAGCTGAATATTACTATCCTGGTAAATGAAAATTGTGTTTAAAACTTAATAAACTTTTAAAATTTAAACAAATAGAACATAGAGATTAAAACATTATTTCATTATTTACAAATTATAAACGATTTTAGTGAAGGTAAAACTAATGGGGTATACTTACATGAATAAAATATAGAAAAAGATTAAAGAGTTTTATTTAAAGAAAAAATTACAAACGAATTTGTCACTTCTGTCAGCTAAATAACGAAAAATAATGGCAGGTTGACAAATAAAATCTAATTTTTAATAAATACATCCAGTGATCACTGATCAGTGACTAAAACTCGAAAACTGGGGCCTCATCGATCCTCCGTTTAATAAATTTTCATCAACGAAACCCCGATTTTACTTCGTATCAATATCGATCGAAAATGGCGATGTAAAATGAATGTATAAATAACATGAATAAGCATACATATATATATATATATATACATATATAAAAATCTTTACATATAAAAATTGCCAGTTAAATTTTATAACACCACACACACACACAACGTATTGCGTACCTGGCCGTCAAGCTCGAAATATCTTCCAAATCTTTAATTAGTGAAACTAACCGATACTTATAACGTCAACTTAGCGGTGAATTATGTTTTTTTCAAATAGTAATTAGTTTGTTACGAGAAAAATATGGTAAAATTAATAAAAAACGATTGTGGAAAATTCTATGGTGGATAATCACGAGCAGCGAGGCAGCTGCTATAAGCTATATTTTCATATGCTGGTAACAGCTAGCCATAGCTATTGTCTATATTCATAATATAATATAAATATTTATATATCTATTCATGTATACATGAGTATAGCATGATATCGAAGAAGATAAAAGATATCGAAGAAGACTTAAATAATATACATACACAGACAAATATATGATCTACAAATATTTGAATATTCATATATCATTTATAAAATATAACTAAATATGTAAATGTTTATACATATTATTGACAGTTTAATCCAATAAATACATTTATATTTCATACATTATATATAAATATATATATATATATGAATATTTAAAAGTTGTAGGAGGAGCCAGCGCTATTATTTTTAAATTTTAAAAAATGCAAGGTAGGTAGCACAGCCCTAATGACGTAGATACATAGACAGCAGACGTGATGAGGCATTAACAACCAAGTATGGACAGCGAAATTTTGAAATATTTTATTGCTTATAAATTTTTTTGATTAATACTATGGATATATATATATATATATATATATATATATATATATATATATATGAACATGATTAATACAGAGTTTTTTTATCTAATAAATGAGGATTTTTTGTTTTCATGATTTCAAGAAATAGGAAAGAAAAACAACTTAAATGCTTTTGAGGTTTTATGGATGGAAAAAGTTACAAAAATAATCCGATAGAAACCATAGTAAAAGCGTCGTCAATGCTGAAGTTAATTACGTAGAACGATTATAGTGACGCAGGTTGTCGATACCTTCATTAACGTTTATCCCTAATTAATCACTAATCAAACTTTGTCATTATCCTTCTTTACTTTGCAGTTTGCACATGGGTTTCGTTGACGTATTCTCGTATGTATTCACGTTATTCGTGCAAAATTACTAGCTGTTTCAATGTGAGTTGGAGTTGGAAAATTAATATGTTTTTGTAATAATTCGGGTATAAATTTGCTTTTATTTTTTATTATGATATTTTTTAAAATTCGAATATTTTTATATAACATGTGCTTAATGACGTTTGTATAATTATTGTTCATTCGAATTTTTTCAATTTATGTATATTACGATTTGTCCATCCATTGAGCATCATAACTAAATTAAATGCACCTGAGCGCTTCAGTATATTTTGCTTTTTGGCCTTTAAAAAATTAATTTTTTGATTTTTTAAAGAATAAATATATTTATTACGTATATTCGATGTTAGCTGTATTTATTACGTATATTCGATGTCAACTGTCCAACAAATCAGCTTTTGAACTAATAAATTAGTCAAGCGGGCAATCAGTCAGCCATGAAAAATATTACCATCAACAAATCAATCAACTTTCCAACATAATCAATCACGGTTCTTCCTTGACGCTAATGACCAATGCTCAACTGGACATTCTGTTATATATATATATATATATATATATATATATAAAATATATGTGTGTGTGTGTGTGCTTGTGTGTATAACATGTATGCCAAAACTATATATACGTATATGCATGAATGTATTTATATATATATTATATTGTATACCTAACCTCTATATCTATCTATATATATATATGTATATAAGAAGACTTGAAGCGGTTACAGTGCATTTCCACGCGACATTTGCGAGCAAAATTTATATCCATCCTTTTTTCCGGCAGGCTGTTTAGTGTGGCTGAACGTGGTTGGAAGTAAGAATTGTTGATACGTCCATTCATTCACGAGAAAAGCTTTCACGAGAAATTTTTTCAAAATAATCTTTGCAATTTTGAGAATAAATTATTAATAAATTATTGAAAATTCATCGGAAAATATCTTGCGTATTTTTTTCTCTCGCAGAATTTTGAACTGCGGAAGTATGATTTTTTTCCTGTTTTTGTGTAACGTTTTCAGGTAAAATGTGATTAAATTTTCAAGTGAAAATAATTTTTAAAATCATTACGAACCTAATCTCCGTAAGAAAAGTTTTTTCAAGTTAATTTTGGTGTCAAATTTTTAGGATATGATAAAATATTTTAGTGACAATGTGAAATAATTTCTAACTGATATCTTCTGTTTATATAGAGTGATAAAACCGCCCATAAGTAGTCGAACACCTGGAGTTAAGCCGGTGGAGAAAGGGATTTGATGAAACTTGAAAGCAATGAAGGTGTCATTAAAATGATGGGATTGGAAGAAACGAATTATTTAAAATATTTTAATTCAATAAAAAGTTACAATAAAAATACTGAAAAATCTTATTAGAATTTTAAAAAAATTTAGTAAAAAATTTTCTTAATTAAGTAGCTATTTATACTAGACTTTAAGCACAATTAAAAAAACCAATCCAACATGGCTAAGTAAACCCACATCATTAATGTTATCGATAGTTCAAAATTTAGAATTGACTCGAACATAGTAATATTGAATTGTAATAGGATTTCAATGCAATATCCTCGGTTATGACGTAATTTCATGATGAACCGTTTGATACTTTGGCTTAAATACGCGTGGTAAATCTTTTTGTGTAAATTTAAATGTTTTAAACCGAATTTGTTTCAAATTAAATAACATTTAACAACTATAACTATAGTTTTACTGTAGAGATTATTCTTATCTTTTTAAAATTTGATTTATATTTCTTTGTTATTTACGTCATCAATAGTTTAGTCACGTGTCCTGTCTTTTTTGCGTGTGTTTCTTGCCTGAAGCTGTATTTTTTTTTCTAAAAGTCGTCATGAATTTTTCAAGGCCAGTTCTCTACCTCACATAAGATTGACATGAAATTTTAAATAAATAAATTTACAAGAGAATGAATGAGTGAACAAATTAACAAAAAAACACATTTTTAAAATTTCTGTAGCCTTTATTCATAGAAAACAAACCTTTGATATTTATTACACACCAACAAAATGCATCTAGTTTTACACTTCATCATCAAATATAGTCAAATAATAATATGATAATACAATATGATATTATAATATTTAATTGTTATTGTTTGTCTTAGGAGAAAATGGATAAACAAATTTGTTTTAGTTCACAAAGTTATATCGTCAAAAAAACCTTTCATCAAAAATAATTCCGGAAAATAAATGAGCAAGTTTATATATATAAATATATATTATAATATATATATATATATATATATATATATATAATGATATATATATATATATATTAATGTATTTTATAATATATATATATATATATATATTATATTATATTATATATATAAATAAATTATAGTCACCATCACAATGTTGTCGAAAAAATTAATTATATCAAAACTGAAACAGTTTTTAAAATATGCATTTACTTCCACGTATATTTGTGTGTGTCTTTGTGTAGGTATGCGTGTATGTGTATGTGTGTGTGTGTCTATGTGTGTGTCTGTATGCGTGTGAGTGCTTTCAAGTATGCTTGCATTATACTACCAATGCAGTTATTTTTTAAAATACGGCCTTTAACCGACGCTTGTTTTCGCTTGTTACTAAAATACAAAATTGATCACGGTACCACGAAGCAGAAATATGTAAAAGAGGAAAAACGCGATAGCAATATATATATATATATATATATATATATATATATATATATATATATATATTGTATATTTATATATGTGTGTGTGTGTTTGTGTGTGTGTGCGCGCGTGCATGTGTGTGTGT